GCCTTGACTCCACGGCGAAACTTCAACGAGGCGATGATCGAGCAGACCGTGGAATCGGCGGCCGCCATTATAATGAAATGGAATCCGGATTCTTCGACTTACGCCAAAGTTACTTCGATGTTCTACGAAGATAAAAGAGAGGYCATGCAGTTCATCAAGCGCGTGAATGATCTTCAGAAAGTCATGCATTTGATGGTTTCGGAAGATTCCAGTTCCGYCTCCGATAGGCTTGTTTACGCTAAAGATTTGATGGAAATCGCCATGAAACGGCTTCAGAAGGAGTTTTATCAAATCCTCTCGATGAATCGCGCGCATCTTGATCCGGAGTCTGTCTCCGCCCGATCCTCCCGCTGCTCCACCAGATCGAGCACCTCCGCTGATTTCRACGATGACGGCACTGTCGATGATGAAATCCAGGTGGTARGCGATTCGATCTCTGAAGTTGAGCAAGTTTCTTCAATTGTGATGGAGGATTTGCGAACCATAGCMGAGTGCATGATCTCCTCTGGTTACGCTAAAGAGTGCGTCGGTATGTACAAAATAGTTCGAAAATCGATAATCGATGAAGGTGTGTAYCGCCTCGGACTCGAGAAATTGAGCCCTTCGCGAATCAACAAGATGGACTGGGAAGTGCTCGAGCTTAAAATCAAGAACTGGTTGGATTCAATTAAGCTCGCGATTAGAACGTTGTTCACTGGCGAACGAATCCTCTGCGATCACGTCTTCGCGTCGTCTGAATCAATCAGAGAATCCTGTTTTGCTGATATATCCAGAGACGGTGCTCTGATTCTGTTAGGATTCCCGGAACTTGTTGCTAAGAGCAAGAAATCGCCGGAAAAAATGTTCCGTGTTCTCGATATGTACTCATCGATCGCCGAGAATTGGCCGGAAATCGAATCGATTTTCTCCTCGGAGTCCACATCTGCAGTTCGATCGCAAGCCCTAACCTCACTTGCGAAACTAGCCGAGTTGGTCCGTGCAATAGTAATGGATCTCGAACTGTCAATTCAGAAGAATTCGTCCAAATCGCCAGTCGCTGGCGGTGGCGTTCATTTTGTGACGCTTCTCTCGATGAATTACCTCACTTTCCTCGCCGATTATAGCACCGCTTTGACGGAAATTTTCGCCGACTGGATTCCACCAGAGAAATCCTCTCTCGATCAAATCGTATTCGGCAATCCAGAATCCGACGACAATTCGACTAATTCCACTAGAGATTCCGCTAGAGATTCTGCGATTTCTTTACGCATGGGATGGCTAATTCTAGTCCTCGTCTGCAAGCTTGATAACAAAGCAAAGCGCTACAAAGACGTTTCACTTTCATATCTATTCCTCGCTAATAATCTCCAATACATCGTCTCCAAAGTCCGATCGTCGAATCTTCAATACCTTCTCGGCGACGAGTGGATCACGAAGCACGAGGCCAAAGTGAGGCAATTCGCCGCCAAATACGAGTCGCTGGCCTGGGGCAGAGTCTTCGCATCATTGCCGGAGGATCCGACGGAGAAATTTTCACAGGAAGATACGAAGGAAATCTTCCGCAACTTCAATATGGCGTTCCAAGAAACGCATCGCAAACAGAAGTCCTGCTTCATTTCGGATCCAAAGCTTCGAGACGAAGTTAAATTATCAATCGGAACGAAGCTTGTGTCGTTCTATCAAGAATTTTACAGAGCGCAAAAAGCTTACGCCGGTGGCAACGAAAGGCCGTACATCAGATTTTCGCCGGAAGACGTCGGTAACTACATATCGGATCTCTACTTCGAGCCGACCGATTGGGCCAGCGTTTCGACCTCCTCACCGTCGTCGACCTCGTCCTCTCACAGGCGGGAAGCGGGGCCCCGTTAACCGGAGCTCCGGCAAATAATTGCCGCGATTTTTTTGTTTTTAATTTTCACTTTTTTTTTGGGTTCGATTTTTTGAATATGCATGTGGAACAGTAAATAATACGGATTTAGTACGTTTGACATTTTGATCCCAAAAATTGAATAAATTGGTTACATAACGACTTTCTCTTTTCCATCTCTTT